TTTTCAAAATGGAGGCTCGTCGGGAAAAAATCGTCAAGGAGAAGGCCCTAGCGACGAGGTTGCTCACCATCCCGCTCTCCCTACCCTCTCGCTACGTAGCGCGCTTCTACCCAGTATGCAAGCTAATGAAAGCAATCTCTGGCACTATGGGCAATTTATCATTTCAGTGGGAAAAAATTCGATCGTTTTTTCCTGACTAAAACATGTTTTTTGTCAATTTGTCTTACTCAATCTTGCGATAAAGATGGGTCCTCATTATTAGAAATCGCTGTTTTCTAAACAATTAGATGTCTGCAACAGAACGATTGCTTTTCTCCACAGAATCTTTTCATAGCGGAGAGGGACAAGAACAAATACAGCATAGAGACTTTGGAAGCATTGCTGTCTACAGTGGAGGCAGAAATGGCCCCGCGAAAAGAATTTCAAGGCTTCCTAAACGTAAACCATGTTATTCCTAATNGAATGACACATTCTTGTTCTCACTCGGGTTATTTCAATTTTTATAGCATTTTTAATTATTTAGCTCGAAGATATTAGCTTTCTAGCTAGTTACAAATTCGAGTCTAAATAAAGTTTATGTGTGTATGTATGTTTTAGGTGATGGACAAAGAGATAGCCGAGAAGGAGATGGCAGAGAAATTGAAGTCCTTGACTCAGCAAGCTGAGGAATACAAGGTAAGATCGTCTACACACTCTGATCAACTTCAGGTACTTCAAACACTTACAAGTAATTGTTTTCTAGCGCGCGCGCGATACATTAAATTATTTTTAATTATTAAGTTAATCAATTATTTTTAAATAAAATTATTATTTTTAAAAGACAAGAAAATTATATAGAAGCATTCAATGATCGTGTTTTACTCGTGGAGCAACTACCATCTGCCTGCAGTGTGTGTGGTCAGCAGATTCATCTTGAGGAACATCCAACACCTCCCTCCTAACTCCCCTAGACCCTCTTTTTTCCTCACTCCTTCCCGCCATCTCACCATCCCGCCTTCCCTACCCTCTCGCTACGAAGCGCGTTACTACCCGGTGTGGGAGCTAATGAAAGCAATGTCTGACACTATGGGAAATTTATCATTTCAGTGGAAAAAATTGATCGTTTTTTCCTGACTAAAACATATTTTTTGTCAATTTGTCTAACTCAATCGTTGCGATGAAGATGGGTCCTCATTATTAGAAATCGCTGTTTTCTAAGCAATTAAACGTCTACAACAGAACGATTGCTTTTCTCCACAGAATCTTTTCATAGCGGAAAGGGACAAGAACAAATACAGCATAGAGACTTTGGAAGCATTGCTGTCTACAGTGGAGGCAGAAATGGCCCCGCGAAAAGAATTTCAAGGCTTCCTAAACGTAAACCATGTTATTCCTAATCATGCCTAGCCTAAAATTTGTTTCCATATTCCCATCCGTTTTCACTCTTCGTAACTGTTACTGATTCGAAAGAGCTGTAAAGTTATATTCATCCTATTTCTCTGAAGAGGTTTCCCAACAGCACTGTTTTTCGACAAAATATAAAGATGGTAATGGAAAAATTCTCCCTGAAAAAGATACTTTTCGATGTAGCCTGTTATTTATTATATGTAATATAGTATTAAGGCCTCACGTTAGGACTGTTTCATACATACACAACCTACAGCTCTATTTAAGGTGGCTCAAAACAGAGCCACCTTAATCTCAAACTACTCAAAACATAAAAAGTGAAACACGTTTTTTTATACAAGAAAGATTAATACTTTGGTTAACTTTTAATCCTGGGTCAACTTTAACCGATTTCGAACAACTCGGCCTTATGACTACAATATATCCCATTTAGACGGTGGGGGGACGGGAAGGGGTTGAGAAAAATACTCCTAGGGGCTTGATGACCGAGAAAAATACTCCTAGGGGCTGGACATAACCGAAGATGAGCGCAGGTTTAGTTTAATTTAATCGGCAAATAGACTCGCACGCAAACATTGCTTTTAGGAAGTTCTCTGCTGTGAGATCACGTGAAGACCCCACAGACTTTTCGTGGTTTGTCCTTAGCAGAAAATTCAAGGCTCCCTATACACTTAGGTCTATTTACTACTTCTTAATTAATTTTGCTTAACTTCTTTTGCAATTTTAGGATATACTCACTGAAGTGAAACAAGGATTCTATGCTCAACTTAAGGTTGTGTTTGATAAAGTAACAGGAGCAGAAAGTAAGCTTCACCGATCCCCCCAAGAAATGAACCAGTGCAAGACCATCCTAACTACAAGTAGCTCAGGAACACAATTTGGAGTTTGTGTCAAAGGAGAGCTAACTACACCCACTAGCAGCTCGCCAACACAATATGGAATGTTTCGCACAGCAGCAATAACTACAGCCACTAGCAACTCCCCAATGCCATTTGAAAAGATTGACACAGGAGCAATAACTACAGCCATTAGCAACTCATCGACACAATATGGTTTGATTAGTACAGGAGCAATCACTACAGCCACCAGTAGCTTCCCAACACAATGTGGAATGTCTGGCACAGGAGCAATAACTAAACCCACTAGTAGCTGGCCAACACAATATGGAATGATTGACACTGCAGCAGCATGCGCAACTGAAGCCACTAGCAGCTCATCAACACAATATGGAGTGTTTGGCAGAGCAGAAACCACTACAGTCCCCTGTAGTTCACCACAATATGGAATGATTGGCACCGCAGCAACAACAACTTTCTCACTAATGCCACCCGTACAGTCATCTCAAACCCAGGTTTCGTTTAAGCGGTGTCAAAAGATGACAACGAAAGACACTTTGAGAGAACATGACACAGCAGCAATCGGCACAAGCAAGAAGAGTTCTGACCTGATGGCAAAGTTTCCTCCAAAACCCGGCTCTTCAACGTGTCCTGTTTGTCTAGTTAGCAATGAGGAACGCACAACCGTCTGCGTTACTTATGGGACTGCTAAGCTATCAGATGGTACCACTAGTGTTTCGGAGGCGCCTAAAAGTGGGTTTCATTTACTGAATCAAGCAACGACTAGCAGTGCGCCAAATACTGTTTCTGGTAGATTGCAAGGAAACACGTCATCAGGAAGCCCATTTACTTTTGGAAAGAGTGATGCAGGATCTGTAAACAGCTCGCCGTTTAAATTTGGAATACGTGATACAGGACCTGTAAACAGCTCGCAGTTTAAATTTGGAATAAGTGATTCAGGACCCAGGAACAGCTCACCATTT